AAATATTTGACGACATCTGAAAATTTTCACTAACAATTATTGGCTATTTTTAATACAAAAGAGATGCGTAACTTTATCACAAATTCAGCTATCATTCACCAGATGATCCTCATATCCAACAAATGATTAAATAGATTTTAAAATACAAATTAATATCATTAATTTTAGAAAAATTTTAGCACAAAACATTCACAATTGTGTTAAATATCTAAGGTTTTAATGTCGAGCGTTCGACTCTCAAACAACCAAAATAACCAATGACGTCAAAATACAGCTGTACTGGTGTACACAATAGTCGGAGAAATTTCCAACGCCTTGTCTTTATAATTAGCAAAGTCTTTGCTTTTGCCTCTAACCCGCGGTGAAAATACGAGTTTTGTTATTATTTTGTTTTATTTTACGACCACAAATAAACATTTGTAATATAGCACAGGGTGTTTGTAAACACATATTTTAAAATTAAACAAATTTTTTAAAATGTGAAATTCACCGATTGAAAGAAAAAATGTTCTGCAAAATTGTGTTAAACCACCCCGGTTGAAGTAGAAAATATCCACCTAAAACATACGATTTCGGCGGATAAACACATTTTTAATTAGAAAGAAAAAAGCAGCATCTCTTTTATATTCTAGACGTAGTCTAGGCTTGATCTCGATTGCTCGTTCCACTTCTACCCCACTCAGTTTTTTTTCTTTTAAGAATATTTCATTGTTTGAAATATTGTGAGTTCTAGGCAGTGGACAGAGAATGAATTTTTGGGACAGAAATAAATTGGGAGAGGAAGAATTCAAGATAAAGTCTCGTTCTTGGGTTTATAATTCATCTCTGCATTGACATCAGATAAAACAGCCAGGAAGGGAAGGGTTTTCAACTCTTCCAGGTGTAATAGTTTTTCTCGTTCCGCTTTCAGAATTTTGTTGGTTCCCCAGAATAGGATTAACTTCTCCATTGTCTTCACTGTTACTGCGCTCTGTCTCCAGTACATATGCTGTTTACAGTTGTGCCACCCAAACAGAAACTTGAGTAAAAATCGACTTTTGCCTTCCAGAAGTGGAGTTTTAATCGAGTTTCAAAGTGGAGTTTTCACCTGCAATAGCCAGGGTTAGAACTCAAGCTTTCACCAAGTTGGGGGGTTGTTAAAATTGATGTCGACTGGATGATATCAGGATAATATCTGGATGATATATGGATGAAATCTGATGATATTTTAATGATATTTGGGATTAAATTTTGGTAATATCTGGATGATGAGTAGTGGAGTTTTAATCAAATTGCAAAGAAGAGTTTTTGCCCGCAATAGTCGTGCCATATATTTTTACTTAAGTTTGAACCTTTGAAGAGTAAAATAAGAAGTGAAAGAGTTTGAGTCTTTGAGGAGTAAAATAAGAAGTGAAAGAGTTACTTGAAAAAGTTGGATAAGAATTAGTCAACAATGAACATTTGTACACATAATTTTCTCACCTTTAAAGGAAGTGTTCGCGAAAAATAAAAGGGGGTATAGGCTTACAGCGAAAAATAAACGTTTTTGATCGTTACAAATCTTACTTCTATCTGTTGTGTCTATAAGGAGAAAATTGTTTAAACGACTTATACTGAAGAACGTAGCGTCCATACAAATTCAGAAAGTTTAATATAAGACTTGGATCGTAAAAAAGTCAATTTAATATCAAACAAACCTACAGTCATCGATTATTTTTTAACTCATTCATATAGTTAATATTTAATATTCGTTAATTTGTATACAATGCAATACAATACTCAGCTGATCCAGAGGGATGGAGTAGTAATTGTATCTTTATCTTATCTACAAATATATTCCTGACTACTCTAAGATAGAGTAGTCGTTGTATCTTTATCTTATCTACATATATAGTCCTGACTACTCTAGGATGGAGTAGTCTTTGTATCTTTATCTTATCTACAAATATAGTCCTGACTACTCCAGGATGAGGTAGGACCTGATGGAGGATGGGGTTGGGTAGTTCTTGTCTCTGCTTTCTTCTGTTTGTGTATCCTTGATGGTATTGCATATACATTTGGAGTATTCTTGGACCCTCTGGTAGTGGAGATGAGTGAGAAACGGAGTAGGGTTTCTATTGCAGGTATAGATTTTAAAGTTTAAAAGGGACTGTGGATCAAACTTAAAGAATAACATGTCCAATTTACATATTTCTTCTTATTCTTTTCTCCAGCTACGTAATAGTGCAAATTATATTCGAAAAAAATTGCAATTGGAAAAAATCAAGTTTAAGGTAGAAAATGAGGAATATCTCCATCCTTTTCATTTATGAGGGTCACTTGAAATTACGTGTGCAGTCCCTTTAATTAAACTTCTGTCCAAATATCCGCCCTATGCATATGAAAGGCCAATTATGCTAATTTTATCAAATTAACTTTTTCTTTCTGATGTTAATTACAAAGCAATCAAAACTGAAAACTTGATGAATTTTAAGCAGAGTCAGAAAGAGATGAATTTTGTTTATTTCTTCTTTGCTAAGCACTGGACCATGCATTGAGACAATTTATTTCAAGTTTTTTTTCCAATAAAGGTGGGTTTCTGGCTTTATTTCTGCAGTTACAGGGTGTCCCACGAAACATGACAGTTATAGCAAGACATTCTTGACATTGAATTCATTTATGACATTTAAACTTCGACCTACCTTAAACATTTATAATTCTTGAAGCAAAAACCACAAACATCTTTTAGTCCTGGCATTTCCAAAATGTGGTCTGCCTTTTCAGAGATATTAAGATTTTTGTTCAGATTTCGATTTTATGAAAAAAAAACGAAAAAAGTCTAAATCTGAAAGGAAATTCTTCATATCTCCGGTAATATTAAAAGCACACAAAAGGCAGAGCACATTTTAGAAATGCCAAGATTACTAACTGTGATTACTAACTTATAGAATTTAACTTTTCAGTTTAGTTTGACGAATAAAATACGCATATTATGTCAGCGATCAAAGACGACCTTCAAATCGTCTTGCTACTGTCATGTTTCGTGGGACACCCTGAACGTCAGTCCATTTTCAAAGCAAAAATATTTATAACATTTGTGTATCTTCATAAATTACAATGGAAACATTTTTGTTAAAAATGTATTATGCAGCTTAAAGATGTATCTTTTTAGTGCACACAGACAAACTTAAATAGGGTAACCACTGCACAGCCCATACTACGCAAGTGTTTGGTCCTATACCGAATGAAGTGCTTTTATATATTTAATTTATCTCTTTTAGGAAGCTTACTTGTTGCATCCTATGCATTTACAGGACCTTTAGCTTCAAGATTAGTGTCTAGGTAAACATCTTATACAATGAAGAACACATTTAAATTATTCCTTATAAAGGTATAGACAGGGTGTCCCAATAAAGAGGTATATCCCAATATAGAGGTATAGGGTGTCTGAATAAACATGGGACTTAAGTAACGACTTCTATATCGTCTTTAATTCGCGTGGCATTGTCACGTGAACACAATTTGTGTAGCATTCCAGTTAAAACATTATTAAATAAATACAGCTACTTGGGAATTCCAAAATGTGGCCTACTATGAATTGAACCTTTAAAGTGGACGAAGCTATTGAATAACAAAGAAAACTTTCAAATGTTTAATATCTCCGTCAATTTTAAAATACAAAGAAGGCAGACCACATTTTAAAAGCTTCTAAAGCGCTCAGTCTTTATTTGGATGTAATCAAAGACGATTTTCAAGTCGTCTTTTAATTTCCATATTTATTGGGACACCCTGTCTTTGTATCTTAAAATGAAACCCCCTGGTTTACGAAAATTCTTATATGGCCAACTTTAAATTTCTTTGAACTGTTTTTTTAGGGGGGGTGGACAATATTTCAATTTTGTGGATTTTTTAGTAGAATATATTTTCCATGCTTAATGTAAGAGTGTATTGTATTATAGTAAACATACGGACTGTATATTTTGCAAAATGGTCATTTGCTCAATAAAAATATTAGGAACAAGAAAAAAGTTAAAGAAATATTTTGTAACCCCTGAAAATTGTACAGGGTTAACCACATTGGATCAGACTTTAAAGACGATATTGTACGGAATTTATACTGTGTGTCTGTTTCAGCTTATAATTACGATTCCCTGCAACTGAAAACTTATTTCTTTCTTTGCCAAATCATTAAATCAATAGATAATTTTATCTATGTCAAAATACATAATTCAACCATGATATCGTCATATTCTAAGAGTTTCTGGTCGTCTTTTCATTCTGATCCTTTGTCGTAACCCTGACACTAATACAGAGCGTCCCATATCATATTAGATTATCTCCAATCTTTAACACCAAAATAACCCCTTAATACTCGAAAAACTTATCATTTTCCGCAAGAAAATTCCTATATAAGCCTTATGTTATTTTTCAAAATGATTCATTCTAATGAAATTTTCCAATTAGTCCCGAAAATCGTAATTTAGACCTGTTTTCGGTCTAATATGATGTGGGACACCCTGTAAGTTAACGATTGTTAAACCAATAGAATGAGTTGAATCAAGTTAAAGTCATTCTCTTCGATAGGATTGAGTTTAATAATCTACATTACATAATTGTTATATATTTGTCGATTATTTTGAGCCATATTTAATTTTTTCATATTATCTGCTTTAATCACGTGTCTGCATTAGGAGGGGAGGAAGGCTAGCCACAATAATTTCTAGTCCGAGCCACATTCTCCTCATTTCCTCGTCCTTCCAATATTATTTTTAAAAGTTCTATTCCTCCAGGATAAAACTATTTAAGAATTGAGCCACTCTAGGGCATATGAAATATTGAATTTTAGTAAATCTAAAAGATAGTTTCATTTCTCTAAAGATTTAAACATGATTTAATCATTGTAATACTTTGGTCTATCCATATTTTATGCCCTAACGTGACCAGATTTGTTAAAAATAGTTTTATCTTCAAGAATTAGAAACTTTAAAACACAATATAATCGAAGGACGAGGATTTCGAGGTGGTTCGGACGTGAAATTGTTGCAGTGTAATCCCAAAATCATTATCCCAATATAAAAGCATGCAGCGAAATTTAAATATGTATAATTCAAATTTTAACAATCTCTGTTTATCTAGGTTTGGTACAAGAAAAGTATGTGTTTTGGGAGGCTTCCTATCAGGTAAAATATTGATAATCAGAATATTCTGGAATAGCAAGTCGAAGATTAAACTCGAGTATGACTTCAAATAGTAAAATGCATATGAGGCCCAGCAACTGTGTAGTGTAAACAGGTCCATTTTACTTGATAAATATTACTAAATTAACTGTAACAACATCAAATCCACTTCAGTATTACTGTAATGTCGTCTTCATATTCTGCAGTTTTCTTGTCATCCCTACGTACACATTTCATTTATAGAATATTTTTTATGACAAAATCCAGTTTCAAAATCGACATTTTTAAAAACTTTGAGTGTTTTTACACTTTTTACAAATTAAAAGGACTGTAAGCGTAATTTCAATTGTGTTCCTACTTCCCTCCATGCAAAGATGGCAGTGTCGATTTACTGCGGTAGTCTGAATCAAGGTTGATATCAAAGATTTTTTTTTTTCATTTTCGAGTTCTCTTTCAAAGTGAAATTTTTATTTACAGATGTAAATGGGGCATTGCCATCTTAGCATGGAAGGTGACTACAAATTAAGCTTGCAGTCTATATAAAAAAACTATAAAATGTTAATATGTCAAAAAAACAGTATAGTTTCGACAACATTTAATTTTGTAACATAAAACACCTACACTAACTACACACTAACCCAAAATAAATAGGGTTAACACAAACTTTAATTATAGCTGTTGGTTTGGCTGTAGCAAGTGCTATGAACAGTCTACTAGGGCTTATTGCAACATACAGGAACTAGCCAATTTCTTTAAACTGTCTTTTTATTCATGAATTATTGAGATGCTTGCTTAAATTTCATTTATTTTCAAAACTGGGTTGGCTTTAAAGTGTTTGCAACGTAGATTAATTAAAATAACAGAAAGGATACAAGATGTCGTCTTTCGTTTACAATGACCTACAGGCAAAAGCCCAAAGGAGTTACACTTAGTCGGCTTTGAACAGGCTCTCTCTACGCTGACTACGTGTAACTCATTTGGGCTTCTGCGTCAGGGTTATTGTGAACGTCACACATATACATCTTGAAAAGACGACATCTAGTGTCCTATCTTTTATTTGAATTTATCTATGCACGCAAGAAACTATCCGTATTTTACCAATTACATGTCCAGTGGCCGAATTTAAAGAATTTGAGCGGCGGTTTAAATTTAAGCCACGGCTCAAATATGGTTGGTTCCACTGAAAATCATAATCATTGTTTCAAGATTTAAGCCGGCGCACAATTAAAACCGGATTTTGGCGGATTTAAACCGCGGCTCAAATTCTTTAAATTCCATCTCAGGGCTTCTAAAAAGTATGTGGTAAAATCAAAGGTCGTGCTACCCTTTCAAGTTGATCCAGTCTTGGAATTTTTTTTTTTTAAAGCTATCTAGGTCTATCAGGGGAGAGGGGTTAGGGTGGGTTGAATCCATTGGAATAAAATTTGAAATATCCAATATCGATATTTTCAATTCAATGCATTACCGTGTTCGAATTTTTATCAAAATATCTAACACATAATAAAAGTTTATAAATTAGATATTTGCAAGTTAAATGATCAGAGCTGAAAACTTTAGAATTGGATACCTTTAATTCTGATGCTTAATTTGAATTTCCAATGTGGACACTTTTAATTTTCTTCTGAATCCGCTCTTTTTCTTAAATATTCTCTTACTGCAAGTTTCAGACCAATGAGAGTTCACTCGTTAAATGGAGCGCAAAATTTTTAATTTTCCGGCTTCTCTGATTGGCTGTTTTAGTTTCTCAAACCCCCTCGATTGGTTAAGTAATATACACTTTCAAAGACACAAACTTAAGCTTAACTTAATCTTGAAATTAAAAAAAAGAGAGGACGAAATATTGATCTCGATATCCACAATTCTAAGATGTTCAGCTCAGGAAATAAATGTTGGCTGGTTTAGTATAATTACTGGATTTGGATTCGGTCTGATGTATATATCTTCTATAGTAGCGGTAGCAAACCATTTCACAAAGTAAGATTTTAGTTGTTTATCAAAATATTTTAATCCCAAAGAACAAAAGTCAACTTAAACTCGACTTAAACTCGACTTAAACTCGACTTTTTAATCCCGGAGGTCGACTGTAACTCGACTTTAACACGTAAATAGTCGTTCGATCCAGAACCTGACTTTAAACTGAGATTTTGTACCATTTTTAAACGAGATTAAATACCACTTATAAACGAGATTTTCAAGTCGGCAAAAATACGACTTTTAAGGTCGAGAAAAGTCGACCTTTTATCGAACTTGTTTAAAACTGGGATAAAAACACGACTTTTTTACGACTTTTGCTCCAAATTTGCAGAATAGTTATCAAAAGTCGTTTTATAGATATATATCCAAGTTTAAGTTGGCTGTGTAAACTAGTTTTAAACTTATAGTATTCTATTTTATTCGAGTAAAATCTTAACAAAAATATTTAAACTTTGCATTTTTAAGCCTGAACCAAATTGGTTGGTCATGGTTAAAATTAAATTCTAATCTAAACTTTTTTACCTAAAGGTGTTAATCTTGGACGACTATTTGATTGGTCCAGCACCATCACCGAGTTTTTAAATCTAAAAGAAATAGCTGGCCAAAACGTCTTGACCAAAGGAATTGAGTTTTTGCCACAAACTCAAATTTGCTAATCCCTATATCTTTGCAACCTGATGGTGTACGCCTTTGATGTTTAAAACTTATACTTTTTGATCTAACATAATTCATAGTTGAAAATATCTAAAGTCCACGACAATGTGTTGCAAAGATATTGGGATTATAAAATCAGTGTTTGTGACAAAGACTCAATTCCTTTGCCAACTTTTTTTGAGATACCCTGCGGCAAAGTTTTTCATATCAATGGTTTACAACATCGGGTTGCAAAGATAAAGGAATGTCGAAATCAGGATTTGTGGCAAAAACTCAATTCCAAATCTGACTTAGGTTTTTTTTTAATTGCGATAAAAAGTAACACCAAATCTGCGGAAGTTAATTAAGAAATTGTTATGCAATTTTGAACAATCACATAAAAAAATGAATATTAAGGAAACGATCTCTGGCGATAGGAATATGTTTATGCGGAGCTGGAGTTGGAACCTTTTTACTCGCACCTTTAGAATCATATCTCACAGGTCATTCATTCATCCTCTTGTGTTCAGGGGAGTTTACTGGGGTTTAAGGAACTGTAGTCTGTAACCGTGGTTTCAAGTGACCTTCTATGCCTTTATTTACAACGGTTTCCGTGAAAGCCTTGTCTGATTTAGTATGAATAAGATATTATTAAACTTTATAAAACGGATTATTTTTTATTGTGATTTATTCAGAAAAGTGAGTCTGCATATTTCTACTGCAGGAAAACATGTAGTAGTTATCAGAATTTAACTCTTTTAAACCTAGAAAAACTACAATACTATGTTTCATGTTGAATACATCCTATCTCATGGTTTTTAAAACATTTTATTTCTCTTTCTAATATTTTCTTTATCAAATAAGTTAGTTTGTTTTTCTTGAAACTTGAACCTGACTTTAAACTGACTGGAAGGAGAGGGAGGTGAGGGGGAGGGAGGGGAGGAAGAGGCTTGATTCCCTCTCTTGTTTGTCAAGAACAACTTTTATCATTTAGTTTTTTCATTTAATTTTGTAAGTTTATGTTCCGATTTCGACATATGTATTCAAATTCTGTGTTTCAAACGGACATTTCACAAGCACTAGTGTTTGAATCTTTCTACGCAAAGAACTAAATGAATTTAAAAGCAAAAAAAAATAAACTTTTGTTTTACTGAAAACTAAAATAGGCATGCAAATGTAATTTCAAGTGTCCCTCGATGCAAGGGCATACACAGAATTATACCCAAAGAGAATAGAATATATATTAGAGTGGAATTTACTAGAAAAAGCGTAAAAAACGGCCATTTTGTTGTACTGTTTCCATACTGGAGGTGTACTTCACATATTAGTGCTATATAATCTTTTGGGCCCTGAAACATCATTTTATAAAAAATCTAAAATTGATATTTAAAAGAAAACCAAATTATAAAATAGGCTGGTTTCATAATTGACTAATGATCATTTCACATAGACTCTATGCGTTTCACTTTACAAACGATGAAAGGCTGAAAGGGACCGACAACATTCATACCGAGGGATAGTCTAAATTCCCCTCTAATATATATTCTTTTCTCTTTGATGTTTTTGTGCTTATTCTCTATAATCTATGTACAAAACGGTTAAACAGTTTGCTTGCAAGCTAGGTTTTAATTGGTTTAAGAATATTAATATTCACTTTTTAGAATCGACAGAACATAAATATTTTCTTTAGAATTTTGGAAACCATTCAAAATATTCACTAATGTCAAGTACACAAGTAGTGCATTAGCTGTATTGTGGTCAAACTGTAGATAGTTACACGTTGTACACTTCGTTTTAGAGGGATTCACCCTGAGCCCAAAACTTAAGACAGGGTATCGTTATGAAAACCATTTTTAAAACTGGGGTTACGCGAATGGGGTACAGGCAGTTTTGTGAATATCAATATTTTTGTAATGACATAATTTTTTTTCAGTTTGTTTATACTCTTCATTTTTTCGAATCTCTTAAATCTAAATCTACACAAATGTTAAGACCCTAAAAAGGAAACTCGGGAGTTTCGTTCAACAATACTCTTTTAAATTTCGGGCTCTGAGCCCGAAATTTAAAATAGTTTTGGCTCTGTTTTCAAGATATTTGAACAAAGAACTCTCTTTACTAGATGAACAGTAAAAGGTTTAAAGGGAACCGGTCTGATTCGGGCATTACCTTTTTTGCATGAAGGTCACTTGAAATTACGCTTACAGTCCCTTTAGATATACTTTATGAACATCAAACAATCGAAAAAAGAAAGCTCTGGAATATATAACTATAACTTTAAATGGTCCAATGTGAATAAAACACAGCAATTGTGCAGTGCAAACAGAACCATTTCACTAAGTAAGTGATTTAAGAAGTTATTAGTAAAGCTATATGCTTTATAACAACACAAAAGCATTTCAGTATTTCTTTAAAGTCGTCTTCCTATTCTATAGTTTTCCGGTTATAACTGTATACAATACATTTTACTTGCAACGTGAGATAACATATATGATATTTATTTTACAGTTAAAAGTAAAGTTGAAGTATAGATAAATACTGAATACAAATATAGAAAATAAATTCATTTTTGAAAAGATCAAACAGTTTTCAAGGATAACACAAGTATCTTTACAACTATATCAAATATGATATTCAAATCTCACAAATAATCTTTTTGGTGAAAAGATCTAGATCAGAAAAATAAGTTTTGAAAATCTGAGGAGCCATAAAATCAGTTTACATAACTCTCAATTAAAAACTGAAACTGGATGAGTATTAATTGGTCATAACGTCATAATCAAAAAATCCTCATTCCATCAAGACTGTTCGCTGGCTCTGCTTTAAAAAATGTCAGTCTCTTTATGAGTTAAAGTTTTTTATTTACAGAAGCCTACGGTCGAAGAGCTGCGTTCTTATGCATGTCTGGATTCTGTCTGGTCGCTATGCTCGGAGGATTGGTGATGAGGCCGGTCAAATTCGTTAATCCGGTTCAAACAGGTAGAAGTATATCCTATAAACACCATATTGATGTACTTAGTAAAACAAGAAAATTAAAGTATATAAACAGAGTAAACTTGTCCGTCTTCACTGTTCATCTTGCGGAGACATTTTAGACATTAGACACATCTTTGCAGTTTTTTACCCTTTTCATAAAATAAACTCTAGCTGACATAATAATATAATGGCTTTTGAAATTAGGTATTACAATGCTAATTCATAACATAGACGATATAGAATTTGTTACTAAATTCCCATATTTTTTGGGACACCCTGTACATCAACTGAAGTATTTCTTCTATGTCGTCTTCCTATTCCACAGATTTTTCAATCTCACTGTTAAAATACTGTTTGTAGAAGTGAGGAGAATAGAAGAAGAGGGTCCAACAGGGTTAAAGGAAAAAATAATCACACTTTTAATTGACAGGTCAGAAAATTGTTTTACCGACTTTTTATTTCCGTATCAACGACCCGGGATTCTCCAACAGCGGATTGTTAAGTTCCTTTATAATTAGTTTTTCCTTGTGACAATTATGTAAAATAATATGCTTGTTTTTCGTGAATTATAAAGACTGAAAGCCCTAAAGTTGAATTCTTTTTATATTCTAGTTTTTTAAAGAAATTATTAAAGCTGAGAAGGTAATTAAAGAAGCCCTGAGTTGGATTAAGCATCATTTTTTATGATTCTAATAAAGCATTAATTTCAGAGATTTGTATAGAAGCCCTGAATTTGGTTTATTCATGGTAGTGGATCTATGCTGACTGGCTG